TTATTTAAATTTGAACATTTGAATATATTTTCATACTCACATATACTTACACAAATGTACATATTTGTAGATAAAATTCCTAGCAAGTGTAAAAAATATAACAACAGATTCAAACAGATGGAATGAGAACCAAGTATATTTGGTGAAATTGGGGGAAATCTATACACATCAATATATGATGTCAGAATATATTAGAGGCCTGGAAATCTATAGCCAGAGCACCACTACCCAATACAATTAGGTGCAGATCTAATTACATCAAAGTATGCTACCAAAACAAAAAATGTTATTAATAAGAATACAAAAACTTATTGCCAATCTTGACAGATTTAGGTCGATTATGGTTTATACATGTGATTCATGACTCATTGGAATTGTATTTGGAAGAAGGGTATTTCACCAGAGAACAAGTTGATTTGGTAAGAAGGGCTTATTTAGATTTGTGCAAGCAGTTAAGAGAACAGGTTATACCACTTGTTGATGCTTGGGGACTGCCTGATTTTATTATTAAAGCTCCATTAGGAAGATATGATGGTGACATTTATACAGGTAATTAATTAATTATATTACCTAACTGGAGGAGTGATGTATTTCAAAGTTTTTTTTTCTTATTAATAACATTTTTTGTTTTGGTAGCATACTTTGATGTAATTAGATCTGCACCTAATTGTATTGGTGTACCAAAATATTGGCAAGATCATATTAAACCATTAACTAGTTCTACCACTAATTTCTAATAATCTATTCTGGTAAATTAATTTAATATTTTTTTTCATAATTTATTGTATTTGTAAAAATAAAAATAATTATATATGGTACAAAACCAAACAATGAACATTTTTGATGTCAAAAGATTCGAATGGTCCATATTTAATAATCAGATACTGTTAAATTGAAGGCATTTGTATAGCAGGGCTTTCGGAATATTGTTTTATTTAAATTATAATCAATTGTTTTAAATTTAAATTTACCAGTTAATATAGGAGCCCTGGAATAAGACCTCATCTGATATGTATTTGGAGGAATTAAAGGATCTATAAGACCAATAAAAACTGTATTTAGGTTATCATGATGTGGAAATTAAAGTTGGAAATGATGGCCAGGATAATGTTAAAATCTTTTGTATTTTATCAAATAATTATCACATATTCTTAAATCAATAGTTGATATTATGAAATTTTTAATGATTTGATTATAAAACAAAGTTGCTTAATTTCACTTTTAGTAAGCCTTATTGAATGCATGTTTAAAAGGCAGAAAAAATAATGTTAACATCTTAATTAATATGAGAAAGAAGCCCTTGGATTGTATAATTTACAATTATATGCATTGCAGTATTTATTTAATTACACTGTTAATGCAATTTTTCTAGGGAAATAACAAATAATTAAGGCAAAATTCTGTATTATCCTTCCTACCTTCCAAATGCTTAAGGGTAGGGGGAATCATGTGATAATTTACAAGTCAACCTCCTAAGTGCACCCCCCCTTGGGAATGAGTGGGTGCGTGCATTTAGGGAATTAAAGCATTTTATTGGCTGCACATATTAGTGACTCATGTGACACTAAAAATTTTTAAACTACAAAAAAAAAAAAAAAATCAAGACATGAATCTATCTATTGTAATTTGTTCCATTATATTTATTTTTTTTTAAGTTAATATATTTTTTCAAAAGAATTAACTGATTTTGCTTGTTCATTGTATGGTCAATTTCCAAACTTGTTAACTATGGTAGAAATAAGTTGATAAGAATGTTAGCCAAAATGGTTTTTGAAAAAATCAATTTTGGCAAGCAATTTTGGATTTACAATATTCTTTGTATCAATAGACATACAAAATCTACCCAGCCTTTTAGTATTTAATTAAAGAGTCCAAATAATTTCAGGTATAATTTTGGCAACTAATAAAATTAATTTCAGCATTTATGAAAAATTATTTCACCATTATTAAGTGAGCCAACATGCTTACACTTGACTCAATTGGGTGACATTTTGATGCAATTAATTAAGTCATATGAAAAGCATATAAGTAATTGAGTCAAGACACAATTAAAAATTGAGATTTTGGGAATTAAGCAAAGCCAAATTGTAAAATTTTCTAAGGTTACACGATTAACAATGCATAAAATCACGTGAAAGTCACGGGCGTGCATTTAGGGAGGGTGGTTTTATATAGTTGGGAATGAGGAAAGACCGTGCAGTGCAGGTATAGAGGTGTTTGCTTATCTCTTAAGTCCCAAGCTTGAGAATGAGTGAAAGCATGTATTTAGATAGGATATACATTTATGGGGTGTGCATTTAGGGGGTTGACTGTAAAAATCTTAAAATACTAATGTAGCCATTAATCAAACACCCCAATCAGATTGCAAATGAGTATCATCCACTCACAAATTGACTCATCTATTAGAAGGGTTTAGATTTCTCAGAAAACAAGATATTCACCAAAAAATTTAGTTTAAAAATATATGTTGAACATCTGAAAACATTTGCCCAGAAATATGTTAAAACATTGAAGCAGTAGCTGATCATATTCCTTTTTTCCAACAAATTGAGGTTTACTTGAACATAATAAAAAGCACATAACTGAGAATGCAAACCTCCCAATAAAGCTTAAACTTCAGGGACACATCCTCCCTGAAAATTTAGCAACATTATTGTATCTTCAGGGCACACTGATCAGATTAGCCTTTATGCACACAAGGAAAGTGATAATGACTGTAATGTTTTAAAGTATTCAAGGTAATCTACTTCAACATTTGTAAATTTCCCAATATCAAATCATCTAGGAGTAGTTGTCCCTCCCATCTTTAACAGTCATGTTGCTTTTCTTTATCTTTGACACTTTCTTATAATAATTATACACTTAATATTAATATTAATAATAATTATGAAAACAGTTATACCAATCATTTATTATCTTGATAAGAATCTTGTAATATTTACCTAAAAAATGTGACCCATTCTACTCCACGTCTTGATTTAATAATTATATTTATAAAATAAAAAAGACATAACACAAAAAAAATTTTGTACCTCTGGCTATTAATAAATAATACATTTCTTCAGGAGAACCAGCCATTCCAAACATTCATCTTGGACTGACTCATTGTCTAAAAAATTTTTTGTTTTATGGGTCACAAGGAAAGGACAGGGTATATACAGGTAATTGTGGCTAATGCCTATCCCCTGTCCTTTTCTAGTCACCCTTGTTTTATCAGTTAATCAATTAATTTTTTATTTTTTTTTTGCCAATTAATTTTAAAAAATAATGTCATCTTCAGAAGTGCAACAAAAGAGAAAAGGTGAATTTGTTGTTGGAGGAAACAAGTAAATATTATTTATTAGTTAACATCAATGTCTCCAGTTTACATATATCCTTAGTGAATTCAGACATTAATGTCTTCAGCTTACATATATCCTAATTGTAATCAAAGACATCAATGTCTTCAGCTTACATATATTTTTATACTACTTGAAGACATTAGTGTCTCCAGCTTGTGTATATTTTTATACTATTTGAAGACATAAATGTCTCTGACTCCTTTATTTATTATATATTAATTAATTACCAGTGATCTGCATATAATGGTATCCCTCATAAAGTTCACTCTCTCTATAATAATAACAGATCATTTGTCTAGGGAAAAAAAGATCCGTTATAGAGAGAATCCAGTAGAGAATTTTGTCAATCATCACATGATTAAGTTAACGAATAAAAAAAAATTTTATTATTATTATGATTATGAAAAAATAATTATTCAATATTAATGTTCAAAAAACTATCTAATGTAGATTGTTTTCTTGAATTAAATTCTACTTTTTTAATTTTCTTTTTAATGGTTTTAACAATTTCAATTAGTGTTCCATGTCGCAATCCAAAAAAAAAAACAAAGTGGTCGTAAAGGTGGTTGCAACCAGCGGTTGCAATCATTTTTATATGATGCAAAGATGGTACAACCATCATCAAAAGTTGCAGCCAGTATCCTTAATTTCAATTCTTCATTTGTAAATTTCTTAAATTAATTGCTGTTCAACAAATAAATTTACATTTTAAATAAATAATAAAACAGAATAATGAATAAATCAATTTGATATGAATTAGGTTTGATTAATGAATAATTTAAAAATTGAATAAATACAAAATCAGGATTGATTTATATAAAAAAAATTGCTTAATTTCGCGGCATAATTCAACACCACAATGACGTGTAATATGACATCTGATTTATAATTCATTTACACGTAAAATAATATTGACATTATTTTAGCTTGGCAATAACATCATCAATTTTTGATTTCTTTATTAATTAACAATTAAGAGATTATTTGAAATTTGTATAGTGATCTAATAATTAATGACTATGATTTAAGATCTGCATTTTGTTTTGAAATCACGTGAATCCGGTATAGGTGCTGTCTGTTATACAGTACATTATTATTATATAATAAAATCCGTTATAGAAAGAAGTTTTAAATAGTAAAAAATTGGGACAGAATTTTTTGTCCGCTATTATTATAGAGAAAATCCGTTATAGAAAGATCCGTTATAGAGAGTGTAAACTGTATGTAATTTTTAAAGGTAAAGCTGTTCACAGGGATACAGGTGTAACCTTTCGGAAATTGTCCGCATGTGGTGATTAAATTACATCGGAAATTCTAATGTCGATCTACTACTACTACCACTACTATATATACTAATAGGCAGACTGATATTATATTTAAAAACAGAAAGTAACTTACTTAATAAATATGACGCCTGAAATAACCATAAAACATGAGGCAGAAAAATTGGTACTTGTCTATTTCCATTTCCTAAAATTTAAATTTATAATAATTATACTAATTATGAAGTTTACATGTTAATTAGCTTAAATTACATCCCAACTTGGATCTTGATCCAAATTCCTCATTTCAAGGAATGCAGAAATACGATCCAACAAAGGATAATGTAGACAAGCCACCTAGACATCGCAAATTAAAAAGAAAACCATATCGATTGAATTCATATGAATTGGAGCAAGAAGCTCTAGAAAAAGCAAAATATGATAAATTGAAATTCATGAAAAACGATGAGGCTTGTTTATTTTCTCTATTTTTTTTTGCATATCCATATATATTAACGAGACCTACACCTAACACGTTCAATCTATCTCACATATATGTTAATAGTCGAATGCATCTAAAAAAATTAAAACTATACATTCACAAATACCATTTATTCGTAATAATAGAAATAATTCAATAAATGACCGACTTCTTCTTCTTAACATTAATAAAGGAAAAGGTCAGATAAAATTTTTATTTTTATTTGAAAATTAAATACATATATATCTAATTATTTATATATTTAAATAGGGAAACCTAATTCTAATTCTAACAAGAAAGTAACTAAAAATTTATTTAGGAATATTAGATTTATTAGAGATTACACTGATCCAATTGGTATGTCTTTTATATATATTCTTATATATTTATTTTTCAAAAGCAAGTATATAATATATACATACTTTATACATGTGTGTATTCATATATGAATAGATAATAAGACATACAAATTATATACTATTGCTTGTTTCTATGAAGAACCTGGTAAAAATAAATACGAAGTTATTATCTATAATTGTAGTGAAAAAGAATTTTCTGACGATGGTAAAAGAGCATTACTTGATGATAAAAAATTTTTGATAAAATTACATGAATCGAAAGCAATAATTAAGTAAGTAGATTAATCGATAAAAAATTCTACAATCATAACTTTTATTTCTTTTCTTATTTATTCTCTAATAATAACATTATTATTATTAGACAAATGTTTGAAAGTAAAGATATTTTTGGAAATTTTTTGAATCCCTTGGTTCTGTTATTGGCTCTTAATAACAAAATAGAATATGATTCAGATCCAACTCATGGAATTTCTCAGAAAGATATTAACGATTTGTGTAAAGAGCTTCATAGTTATCGAAAACAAATTGATACTAATATTAATACATCGGACCCATATCAATTGGCTGCTCATTTTGCTGACCAAACAAAACGTGAACAACAAAAAAAGTTGGAGTTGCAATTCCAATATAAACAATTACAAGAACAGTTGTCGCGGGAACAAAGGCAACATCAATTGCTACAACTACAACAACAACAAAGGTTGCAACAGCTACCACAACAACAAACACAGCAATCACCTCAATTACCGCAATCGCCTCAGTTACAGCAATCGCCTCAATTAATACAATCACCTCAATTAATACAATCACCCCAATTAATGCAATCACCCCAATTACAACAAACATCTCAATTACAACAACGACAATTACAACAACAGCAAAGACAACAACAGTTACAGCAAACGCCCCAATTACAACCACAACAAACGCCCCAACCACAACAAATGCAATTACAGCAGCAAATACAATCGCACCAACAGCAGTTACAGCAGTTAAAACGACAACTATCTCAATCAGACAATTCAACAATGGCATTGAAAAATTCTTCTGAAAAACCAAAAACCCAACATTTATATTATAGTGACGATAAGGGTAATAATCATGACATTATATATATTTCAGACATTCTTGATATTATTGAAAAGAAAAAATATATAGCGAAATTAAATAATCAGAGCAATTCCGTGAATAATATGATTAATGTTAATAATAATAATAACAATAATATCACCATCAATAATAATAATAGTCTTAACAACTTACCAAATAATTTTCCAAATACTATTAACAACACTATTAACAACACTATTAACAACACTATTAACAACACTATTAACAACACTATTAACAACGCTATTATTAACAACACCATTAACAGTAACAATCCTGGCAATTACTTACCAACAAATATAGCACCAACTAACATACAACAACAAAACATTATTCCTATCATGAACATAACTACAAATCAACGTCCACCTATAGCTGGGATGCAACAAAATGCTATTCCTATTACAAACATGGCTGCAAATCAACATCCTTCAGTGACTTCCATACAACAAAATGTAAACCAACGTCCTAACATAGCTGCCATACAACAAAATGCTACCATGAACGTAGCTACAAATCAACGTCCTCCTATAACTTATGTTCAACGTGGTGGTGCGGTGGGAAATAGCATAACACAAAATCAACTTGCTGCAATTTTAAATCGACGAATTCAAATTCAATATCAACTGCAATTACAACAACAGCAGCAGCAGCAGCAACAGCATCAGCAACAGCAACAGCATCAGCAACAACTTCAATTACAACAACTTCAAATACGACAACAACAACAACGACAATTACAACAGCAACAACAGCAGCAGCATATACAGCAACAGCATCTACAGCATCTACAGCAGCATCATCTACAGCAGCAGCAAATACAACAGCAGCAGTTACAACAACAGCAAATACAACAGCAGCAGTTACAACAGCAACATTTACAAAACCAGCAACAATAATGCCAATGATAATAATATCAAAAACTTCTTAATATTATTTTAGTTTTCTTAAAATAATATTGCTCAAGCAAGGACTTGATAAATTTATTATTATTTTGTACACGTATATTGTTTATTTTAGAATCTTTGATAAATTATTAGCTGATGTATTTCATAAATATCATTAACCCTGTAAATTAGTTAATTATTTATTTTTAATATAGTTTTATTTATAAGCGAGAAAAAATACTAATAAATTTTTTATTTATTATTATTCAAAAATTTTTTTATATTTGTTATATAATTTTTTCTTTTACATAATAAGCAAATAAACAAATAATATTTTACCACTATAAAAATTCAAATTAAGAATTTTTAACGTATTAAAAGAAATCAATAACAATAATAAAAAAACAGAGAGAGAAATAAGGGTTAGTCTTAAATTTAAAATGGTAGAAGAATGAATATTTGAAGTATGAAAATTGAAACTCAAAGAAAGCCTTGTGTTTATAACCGTAGAATTAATCTGATGAATACAAAGAGAAATGGGAATTTCAATTTTATGCAGTAATATAATAAATGAAAAAAAGGATTTGATTAATAATCAACGATTAACTAGGGTTTTTTTTGTTTCTGCAATGATGATTTGAGGAAGAGGATGTGAGTGTAAAGTGTATAATATATCTTGTAATAATCGCAAGTGATAAGCACTAATGCTAATATCAATCTTCTAATATTTTGTATTCTATAGAGATAATAAAGTGAAAATAAAAAAAAATGAAAAAACTTAACTAAAAAAATATATCCTAATCTATATTTTTATATATATTGTTTTTTTTTATATAAATTTAAGTTTAATTAAATTTTTAAAACCTTAAATTGATTGATAATTATGATAATAATTATTTTATTATATTTTCTTTCATATTAAAGTCTTTTCATACTTCTTTTTTTATCAGCTTGTTTCTTATCTAATTTCTTATCACTAGATGCAACTCGTTTCTTTGGTGTTATATTTGAGAGATTTGAATTATCGGATGAGATAGAAGCTGTAGGATTCTTCTTTATGCTTAAGTGAGATGTTGTTGATTCGTTGATTGATTGAGATGGAGCTAGTGGAGTTGTGATCATCGTCATGTTATTGTTGTTGTTGTTAGTGTTGTTATTAGTGTTTATTGTCATTTTAGTTTGTGCCATATTTGTAGTAGTAGGGGTAGGGGTAGGGGTAGTAGTAGTTGATATGGTAGTAGATGATGGTAATGATGATGACGATGATGATGAGATAAATTTCTTTGGTAGTGGAGATGAAAGTGAGGGTGAAGATGAAGATGAATTTGTTATAGTTATTGTTGATGTAGATGATGATGATGATGTGGCGGAAGTTATCATAGTATTACTAATAGATGTGATAGGATTAGTGGTTGTTGTAGTAGCATTACTATTATTATTGTTATTATTGCTAATATTGCTACTACTAAAATTGTTTGGTATAGTACCATTACTGCTATTATTGTTGTTATGGCTATTATTATTATGACTATTACTGTTATGATTATTACTGTTACGACTGTTACTGTTATGATTATTGTTTGTAAAAAATTCCGATATTTTGTTTTGAGCATGAATTTTTGTCATCATAATAGCATATTTAGCGTATTCCTCATATTCCTCTAAAAGTAATTTACCAGCTTCTTCGTTAAGTGCAGATTCTGGATTAGGAAAAATCAAGAGACATTTTACAGTCTTCATATATATATATATATATATATATATATATGAAAGGAATATTAAATAATCATTCATGAATAATTATAATTGATATAATTAATGAATAATGAATAATAAATGTCAATAATAAGTCAAGACCTAAATATTATATACAAGTATAATCTTATAATTATTATTTATTACCAAAAAAATTCTCTCAATTCCAAAGTCTTTATTCCAATCTTTTTTTAGGGTATTTACACAAACTTCACCAGATTTTGATACATTTGGATGAAAGATTTTGGTCATGAAGTAGCCTGTTGATTCGATGTTCATATTGATATATGATGTTATTAATATATTGAAAAACACATGTATTAGTAGTAGTAATAATTAGTAAATTATTACTTTTTCAAGAATTCGTATTAATTAAATTAAATTATATAATTAAAATCATATAATTAATTAAATAATCGATTGATTGATTGATTGATCGATCGATTGATTAATTAGTTTGCAATTACATTTTGGAGGTACTGATGGAAAATCAGTTCCTAGTACCACTTTGATCTTAAACATTCCTCCTTCATAAGGTGTTCCCTCTGCATATATAATTTCAAAAAGAAAAGTAAAAGATCAATATCATCATCATTTTATAAAAAGATCATTTGAAATTAAAGTAATTAGTTAACCGACCAGGTCCTAATATCCAGGCTTGAATATCACAAACATCTAGTTCATTGACAATAACTCTAATTCCTTCTGGAGGCTGTGCAACAAGAATGTTTAATTCTTTTGATATTCTTTTGATAATGGCTGGTGAAATGTTTTCGATAGCTGACTATAATTATAAATAAAGAGAGAGAAACAGACAGAGAGAGACAAAGAAAAAGTACAGAGAGAAATACACGTACATATATACAGTTATAGATACAATACAATAAGTTATATATTTAAAGAACAAGAGCAAAATTTTAAAAAGATAAATATATGGAAATAGAAATAGAAATTACCATATTTATAGCGTCTATTTAAATTTTTTTAGATTTGTTTTAAATTATTAAATATATATTATTCTATGTTGTTTTTAATTTTTTATTTTTTTTTTTTAAAAATAAACCTCTTTCACGTGATTACATCAAATAATGGCAAATCCGGAAGTGATTTTCAAGGGTTAAAATATCACTGTATTAGTATGTATAAAATTAGGACCTCGGACAATCATATTAGGCGTTACATTTAAGGTTGCTTGCCAAAACTTCCTTAACGACTGCTGAAACTCTATGAATAATTGGTGTGTAACCTGCTGAAATTCTGCCAATTGTCGAAACCCCCAAATGTGAAACTCTGCTGAAACAATTATTGTACAGTGCGGATCATCTATACTCAAAAGTTAAAAAAATTTGAAATATAATGTGATCCACATGTCAGATTTTTTAAAAACCACCACAGCTTTAAAAAGGGAATAAATTCATGTAAAGTAAAAAATTTGTCTCAAATTTTCTTTTCATAGATTTTTTTAAATTCGAGAGTAATGTCCAAATGCAATAAAGTTTTCGTGTTACAAATTTTGAATGTTCATTAACTTTTTTATTGTAAAGAACTTTTATCTATTAATAAAAAAAAGGAAATAAATAATACAAATAATAATAAAACAATATATTGATATGTTGTAAAAATATTTTATGAAAAAAAAATTGTTGCAGGATTTACTTAATTTCTTAAGTGTATAACAAAATTAGGAATTCCCATTAGAAAATTATTTTATTATTTTGAAACAAATCTTTTTAATATATATATATATATATATATACATTTTATTGCTGACTTTTTATTTATATTTTTTGAACCTAATTGAATATCAAAATTTTAATAATGTCATACATCAGACATTAGAAATAAATAATTTTATTATAAACCTTCTTGAGCAAATTGGTCATAATGAAGCTATTTGTATTCAAATAACCACTTTGTTTGAAACTATTGATTCCATTCAGCAAGCTCAGCATCAAAAATATTAATTGTGATTGAGATTTCTTCTGGATTTAATAAATCATTTATTTGTAAACTGCAAATATCAAAATAAATAAATATTTTTTTTTATACAAAGAAAGAAGGCATCAGGAGAATTGTTATTTATAAACATACATTGAGCCTCTTGATCTTGAGCTACTTCTATCAAATCCATATTTAAATAAACTCATTTTATATTAAAAGAGTTTTTTTACATTACACTATTTCCTTTTTTTCTTCATGACTGGAAAAACTATTTCTTCTGGAAATTTTCTGGTGAATTCAATTGGCATTTGCATAGAAAATTATGTAATATTGCTGAATGTAATTATTGCATAATTTTTGTATAAATTTTGCATAATATTATGGGGTCTGCTGTAAACTTACATAAATAGTGTAATAATTATATAAATCCACATCAGAAAAAATTTCCTGATGTAATATGACTTAATAATTTTGAAAAAATTTAACTGAAAGTTATCATGTTGAAATCATTGGTCTTCATAGAACAAAAGTGCCTTGCACTATCAAAAAGTATCTCAATGAAAAAGATCTTATCACAAAATTATAATGATACCCTAATGAGATCGAGTTAAAACAATTATTGAAAATAATGGGTATTAATAAAATACAGAGTTTGTTTATATTTTTTATAATCAGATATGATTATTGTATGCATTTTGCACAACTGATTTTTTTTTGTGGTGAATAAATATTTGATGATAAAAATGTTATTCATGTAGACCTTCAAAAAGGCAAATCAAAAAAAGTCATTTTCATCAAACATTTGAAGATCTGGTGATGGTGATGATGATGATAATAATTTAAATTTCAATAAAAGCATCAACAAAAGACTCTTCTATGCAAAAGCTGCTGAAAATTAATATTTAAAAGCAAAAAAATCAAATATGTCATTAAAAGAATTTACAAGCATCACTTGGCACAACATTGTGATAAATGAGCATCCTGATCAGAATTTGCAAAAATTATTGCAGCAGATGATTGCAGCAAGTACAGTAAGCAAATTTCTATCCTTTTGATAACAGATCCATCTTTAATAGGCCTTAAACTATAAGAATTGACCCAGATGTGGACATAACCTTGTCAATTTTGTATCTGAATGGAAAAACAAAAGACATTTTTGTTGGAGCTGTTTGTTAGTAGACAAATGGTGCTATCTTAGCAGATTTTCCATTAATTGGTGGGTCCTGTACAAACACTGTTATTGTATGCCACTGATCTTATTCTTGTGGATTCAAAAGATGATTAGTTGGAAAATTTTTGTTAGAAATGATATGGGCATACTGCAACAAAACCAGACAAAGTGAACATTGGTATTACCAAGAATTTCAGGGATCAATAGTGTTTGTTTAACATCACAATTATGTTGCAATGTAATGTGATCAATGATATTTGTCTTTTTTATAAATTTTAATTTCTTGATTTCTACATTTTTACAAATTTATAAATGATAATTTTCTAATTTTCCAAATTTTACTTTATGCAAAGAACACACAATATGTAAAGAACAACCAAGATCCAATAACATATCCTCAAATTTATCAAACTACAAATTTAATTATTGCTTGTATTATTTTAGTTCAATATCTTCCTCATCAGATGATAGTGGGATAATCCTGATTGTCGTTATTATAAATTAAATAAATATTAAGTATATGAAATAGTAATATTTGTAAGGAAAAAAGTTCAAACTATTATTTGCAATAAACTTATCAAGTATCTGAAAGTGATTGAGATCCTAATTAATCAAGATGAACATGGCAAATGATCAATAGAAATAGCTTCAAGAGGCTTATAATTCTGGATTTGTATCTAATATTTAGAAGAAAAGAAATAATGTAAAGGGGTGATTAATTAAAATAATAATAATATTATTATTTTATATACATATATATATATTGGCTCATTTTTGAAGAATGAAAGGTGATGTTTAACTTCATTGACCATGATACGGTCTAAGAGTGGTGCAAAACCATTTTCTAATCATTGTCATTTTTATATATAATTCGTAATAAAATTTTAATACTTGCCTCTGGATTCAAATTATTTACATACCCATTCTAACTTTTATCAAGCGTCGATATTGATAATTGGTAATTGACCATATTATTGACTAAATGTTTCAGCTCCATTTTTTTTTTTTTTTGTGTTCTTCAATCACAAAGTAATTTATAATAATAAATTTATAAAAAACAATTTTCAACAAGTAATTTATGAAGAATAGAAAAATAGTAATGAATCACTTTCTCGAAAATAAATATGATTAGATAATAATAAAAACCAATTCAAAATTTGTTTACTGGAAATATCTTTAATATCTGCCATTTTGTCCGTAAAAAATTTCTTGATAAAAAATTTTTTATTAATATGCAAGAGTAAAAAAAAATAGATCAATTTATAATAGAAATTCGTTTGCTGATCTGTAATTTGAAAATTCTTCACTCTTTTGGTTTTGGACGGTACAAAGTTCCACACACACACTCTCTATAGTAAACCTTCTATATTTTCGTATTAATTATAAAAAAATGAATTCCGGACAAGGAGAAGTTCATCAATATTAATATTAAAAAAAAATTTTTATACAACATCATAAACTTTATTGTCATAAATTCTTTTTAAATTTAATTATATCCATGTAAAAGTTCGTCAAGTTACATATGTAATATAAACAAACACATATATATGACTATTTACCAATAAATCTCTATTACTTGCAACTCGCCGCAGCTAATTACAGTATATATATAAGAATAGAATTATGGTTGTGGTTGTGGCATATGAAAATTGAATTGTGGTTCATCTTTATATGAGGCATACTGCAACAAAACCAGACAAAGTGAACATTGGTATTACCAAAAATTACAGGGATCAAATTTAATTATTATCATCACAATTTAGTTTATAATGCCCCATTCATTAAGTGATGTATATGTAGAACTGTCCCTATATAAAATAGTTAATATGAAATTAATTTACTATGGAACCCAAGAATCATAGTACTATCAGAAGTATTTTAAAAAAAGGAACAAGGTGAAAAAATTGCTCCCTATATTTTCAAAATAAATGATACTCAAACATTGGAAGCTTATCTAAGAAAAGAAAGGATTACTTATGAAATTTACCAAGAAGAAAGAAAAATAATAAATGTTAGAA